CCCCAAAACCCCAAAACCCCAAAACCCCAAAACCCCGTAGGTGACGATTACGTTTGAAAATGAAAATTATATAAAATTAAGGAATTCGAGTGGCAAATGTCACAAGTTTAACAAAAATTTAATAAAGCTACTCCTCCTGAGACGAAAACCAAGGATGCTGGAGCGCTTCTTCAGCAGAAATTCTCTTCTCTGGGTTGTAGTCCATGCATTTGAGGATTAAGTCCTGGAGAAGAGGACTTTTCCTTTTCCAGTCATATCTCCTGAAAGGAATATCTCCGCTGCTATAGGCAAAGTTCTTTAGTTGAGTGGGCTTGTATGCGACAGCTAGTTCATAGAGCATTAATCCAAATCACCACATGTCTACTTCTGTGCCAATCCAGCAATGGCTTTTAACCTCGGGCGCTATGTGTCCCAAAGTTCCAGAAACGTCTTCTATTAACACTTTTCCTTCCTTTTCCTGGCCAAGGATATAAGAGAGCCCAAAGTCACAGATCTTTACTGTAATTACGTCATTCTCTTCATGACAAAGCATATTTCAAAGTTTTACGTCACCATGGATTAGGTTACGGCTATGAATATAAGCCAGACCTTTTAGTATATCTTCAGCAATTTTCCTCAGAAGGTGTTCGTCCTCCACTGGAGTGTGCTCATCGTTAATCAACTGGGTAAGATACATTGGTTTGTTTGCATGTTCCATAAAAAGTGCAAGCTCTTGGTCGTCCTCCGTATAGTCGTATAGCTCGATGATATTTGGGTGCTTCATCTGAGAATGAATGGCTCACTCCCTTCTACAAAATTCATTGACTTTCTCAGACAAAATTCATTTTGATTTCACTAGAGATTTCTTGATCACGGCCTATATTAAAAGTTAGAGCATGTAGCCAATAATAGCCTCTAATTGGGTGATACGGTTGTCTGGCATTTCTAGTAATTTACAAATTTGAACCATTTTGTTAAAAGATGACGTGGAACTTAATGCCTTTTAAACCCCAGCCAATACCACACTATCTGGCTGAAATCTGAGCCATGGTAGCCTAACTGGGTGGGGCAAGATACTTTTAAAATGTAACTGGGCCTTACCTTGCCGTCTTCTGTAGAGGCCATCAAGCTCACCACTGTTGGGCTAAGGATCTCCTCGAATAGCAATTTGACTTCTGTGTATGATTTTAGAATAGAAGAATCGCTTGGCTGAAATTTAAAGCTAGTCCCTGTTTCATCAACTCCGAAAGTAATTCAGTCAAGGTCTTGATTAGAACTAGCCTCATCATCTGTAAACAAATCAGATAGCGTTGTAAAACTCCTAGATCTCGCTCTGGTTCTGAAAAAGAGATAGTTTCCGCTAGGTTTCTTCACAGCAATCGCTAGAGGTCCCTTTGTAGTTTGCTTCTTCTCCATTTCTTTCCAGGCAATCATCACGTTTTATTATAATTCCAATAACTCCTTTTATTCGGGGTTTTGGGGTTTTGGGGTTTTGGGGTTTTGGGGTTTTGGGGTTTTGGGG